AATAAAGGATAATAGTTGGGATACCCGAAGAGATCTTGAGGCTGACAGATGTGTTCCTTGGTGGGTCGCCCTCCCTGCTTTAGGTTGCTGAGTTCATCTTCTGCATACGGGTCATCCTCCACCTCCTCAAATCTGGCCTCTAGCAGTTATAAGAAGTCATTTGTGTCATGCAGTTGGGGGGCTCTTCTCTTGTGGAGGGTTGCTTCTCCTTCCAGCCCCTCAGAAATGGCATTCACCATGGCTCGAGGGGGGGGGCGGGGTAGAAGTGTCCATAATGTTCTAGGTGAATCTCAGCTGAGTCAAGGACTAGTCAAGAGCTAGCTGGTCTGGGTCCCCATCAAATTTCCCCCTGAACTGGGGCGGTTCATAGAGCTCTGCTCTGCCCTCTTCCTGTCACCCTCTGTAAATCTGTGCTTGAGGTGGCTGATCTTCCTCCCTGGCTCTAGTTCATGCAGAAGGAGGAAGGAGATACCTGCTGTGTGGAGGAGGCACTGGTTGCCTCTGTGGGCTCTTTCTTCTTCTGTTGGTTAGAGGAGGAGGACTGTAATCTCGCCTGCTTCTCCTCATGTTAGAAGGCTCTGTGGGAGGCTCTGTTTTGGGTGGCATGATGGGCCCTCCTTTCCAATGGAAGCCTGGTCAAATTCCTCCCTCAGCTGCTCTATGGATCTCTCCAGGAATCCTGACAGGAGCTTTGGGGCTCTGGCTTGTTCCCAGTCCCACATCCATTCCACTCTTGTCAGCTCACTCAGGTCCCTTCCTCCCTTTTTAAGCTGGGGGAGCTCACCTTCCAAAGCTGTGGGAGGTTTTGTTTCCTTTATTTGCTCAGGCCTCACGGCTTCACCTGTGATTACGTCCTCAGCTTCTGTTCATAGCTGGGCTGCTTCTAGCAGGCTTTCTTCCAAGACGACCCCCTCTGCCATTTTAACCTGACTTTCTCTCCATGCATTTCAGATGTTGGGAAGCAATTGAAGAGGCCGGGGGTCAGGTATCCCAGAAAGTTGAATTTTTAGAATATTGGCTGGCTGTCAGGGCTCCAACAAATCCACCCTCATTCAAATCAAAAGTCTCTAGCCACATCTCAGAAAAAGTAAATTGGTTTATTAGAAATTGCCATATTGACACGTGGCTGGGTGCAGCCAATACTAAATCACACCATACATTTCCCCCTTGACCCTGGTCTTTCCCCCACCCTCTGGATGTGACTTCTCCAATGGGACACATCTGTCTCCAATGTGCTCTCCAATAACCTTCTTATGCTCCAACAACTTTGGGCTGCCAAAGTAAGTATCTAGGCATTTCAAGAATGCCTTGTTTTCCCCCACTCCTCTTTTCTGACAGTTAAAAAGACCTAAGGAGTATCTTTTTAGTTGACACTAGAGCAGCTTTTAAAGCTCAAGCAGGCCAAAAATGCTGTGATCTGAAACCGTTCAAAGTGGGGACCGCATATGTTTATGTACAAAGTTCCTAAAATCATTACAACCCTCTAAGAAACTGGGACCTAAATTCATTGGCCCATTTTCCATCTCCAGAATCATCAACCCTTTCACTGTAGAGCTCCTACTCCCCAAGACACTGAGACAGGTTCATCCAGTATTTCACTGCAGCCTACTCAAACCAGAGATGACTTCAAAAATTAGACAACCCTCCCCCTTCCCACACCTCCAACTCCCATTATAGTACATGGAGAACAACATTTTGAAATTAAAGATAACCCTGACTCATGCACTCACTGTGGATCCACACAATATTTAGTAGTTGGGAAACACCTTCCCTCTTCACAAAACGAGTGGGTAGCCAAATGACATGTAAAAGCCCCCACATTACTACAGAAGTTCCACCTGAAATATCCTCACAAACCATCCTAAATTGTAAATGTAACACATATTTTATGTCTTCAAAGTGGATTTCTCATTTTTTTTTGAAGAGGGCAATGTGTCAGATTGTGTATCTGTCATTCTTCAATGGAAGAAGAAGGGGGGATTGATACAAGCAATCCTTTTTGATGTAACCTGAATATTCTAATTCTTGTATTGAATTTGTATAACCTGCACATGATTTATAACTGGGGACTGGAGCCCAGATGCTTGGAAATTTGTCACCTCTTGGAGAGATAGCAAGACGAGAAGGGGCCATAAAAAATCCAGTTCCGAAAGAAACTTCCTGGAAATCTCTTCTCAACTACATTCCCAGAAAAGGGGGGGGCATTAACATGTTGCTTCTTTGTATTGACAAAATCCACACCAGACTCAAACTCCCTTTATCTAAGCTGCATGCCTGGAGGGATATCAGACCCTGCTTTGAATCTGACTTGCTGTCTTCCTTTTCAATAAAGAATTCCTTTTGAAATACCCAGTTTTCAAAAGTTGATTCTTATTGCCTGAAGGGAAGAGAGTCTGGTCCTTACAAGCAGGGGTGGGATTCAGTTTTTTTAACAACCAGTTCTGTGGGCATGGCTTAGTTGGTGGGTGTGGCTTGGTGGTCATGTGACTGGTGGTCATGGCCAACTCGACATCACTCATGTAAAGGGGCTCTTCTCCTCTCCTGGCCTCTCATGATAGTGGGGATGCTGCAATGGTCATAAGTGTGAAAAATGGTCATGTCACTTTTTCAGTGCCATTGTAACTTTGAATGGTCACTAAATGAACTGTTATAAGTCAAGGATTACCTGTACAAAAATACAAAAAGCTTCTTTGCTTGCAAAAAGCTGCCCTAAACACCAAACGTTAGATTAAAAATACCTGCAAGCCAAAGTTACAAATCAGGCAGGGTGCCAGAGCACCTTGAGGAATGAAAACAGTTAAAATGCAGTGATAACTATCAAGCAGCCATCTCTTGCTCATAAAGTGAAACCCTTTAGCAAAGCGGTCATTTAAGCTCTCCAGAAAAAGCACACCCAGGAGAAGCAATCCTTAGATCCATTTGCACCACTTAAAGACACCAGCTGGTCTCACTCACCTCACAAGGTTTCCTAAGGAAATCAGCCAGATTTAAGGAAAGGTCCCATGGCCCCCAGAAAGGCAGTAAAAAAATCAGTGCCAAGCTTGCATCCTGCCTTGGGAAGTATACCCCAAAAGGACAGTGCCAGATAGTATTAAAGCAGTGAAGGAAGACCCCCTCCCCAGATAGAAAAAAGAAACCATGGAGCATGAAAAATTCAAACACAGTACAAATACTTAAATCAAAACAGTAGCTGTTGCTTGTTGAAGCTGAATAGGGAAATTTATCCCATCAATAAACACAGGATTAAACTTCACCAAATACAGAATTAACCTTCACCAAAAACAAGTTTTAGACCAAAGCTCAAAAACTCATGTTTGAATGTCAATCTTTCTAGCTAGCCAAGAAGCCTTGCTGAATGTCACTCATCTGCGTTCCCTGTCACTAAATTTAAGCTTTGCTTCATTATTCAATTATTTCTTCAAAGTGCTGATTGTCCAGGGAAGTATTTCCTCCCAACAGCAGTGTAAAAATCTTAAACAACCCTTCCCTGTTAAGAAAGTCACGCCTCAGAAGCTCTGGAGACCGGAAGTCTAGGCGTACTGCCAAGAATGTAATAAAGGTGGAAATGAACAAAGGGAGATTGCTTCTAACTACTGGTTCTCTGAACTGCTTAGAAAGTTAATCAGGGGTTCATCCTATTATGGGGTTTAGGAGAAGCCCTAATTTGATATCTTTCTCTTGCTTTTATGGCAACATAATAAGAAGCCAGAGAGGATGAAACCTCTACAGAGATGTTTATGTAATAAAAGACAAAGGATTTCTGTGCATCCACATCACCACATTCCACCCATGAAAATTTTTCCACTCAAAGATATTTTAAAATATTTTTGTGTTTCACAGAATAAAGGGTCTATCAATAGCATGCATAAGCGCATCAACGTGCCTACCTTCCCTGTCCTATTTCTTTTATTTTTTTATTTATTTTTTCTTATATGTATCCATGTATTCATAGCTATGTTTTTACTTATACCTATTATCTTGTAAGCAATTGACAAATAAAAATAAATAAATAAATAAAAATAAATAGGAGAAAGATAGGGATATGGATATGTGAATTATTATATTTCCATGAAGCGGTTTTTCTATTTCTATTTCAGCGCTATAAGAATATGATTCCAGGGGAAAAATGAGAATTAGTGAAAAAGAAAATGAAAAATGAATAACTCCTTATGTGGATGGGTATATTTTTCTTCTAATTTTCTTTGAGGAAAAAGTATTTCCAAAGGCTCTAAATATATCTAAAATAGTTTCCTGTCAAGAAATGCAATGAACTTTGTACTGGTTTTAAGACTTTTTAAAAAAGCTTTTAAGATTACAGGTTTCGAATCAAACTGATGTGTCAAATAAAAGTACAAGGGCTATACTTCCTAAAATACTATAATTATCTTTGTCCAGGAATGCCAAGTTACAACCTGGAGACCAAGCATTTTGTTGAAAAAGGATACTCTTGTTATCCGGGAGGTCACAGAAGATGACATTGGAAATTACACTTGTGAATTAAAGTATGGACTCTTTTCTGTCAGAAGAACCACAGAATTAACGGTTACAGGTAATTAAGCAAAATTGTTTCAGGTTTTAAGTAATATTTTTGTTGTAGATCACAGCCTCTTTTCTTTTTATTGATGTTTTAGCAATTCACAAAGGTGTGTTTAAAAACAAGATGTTGTGGAGGGGTGGAATAACCTGAGGCAAACATGGAGCGAACTAGAGCTTTTACTTTATTGTAGCAATAAAGGGTTGCTGCGGTTGCTGTGCTAACAAGGAAGCCATCCGGCAGACAACAGCTGATGCCATTTGACAGCTCCCTTTTATAGCCGGCTGTCAAACGGCATCAGCCAATAGGAATGGTCCATGTTCCTGCTGGAAACATGGACCGGAGTGAAGACTTCAGCTCAGTCTTTTCCGAACGCCACAAAAGGTGATATTTTTTGTACTAAACAGTGCAAGCATTTAGAACAGGTTAATCTTAAACCTGTTTTGAAAAGGTGTTGGTTACTTTAAACTGTAATAAAGAGAGTTTTAAAGTTTTGAAGGACAACATATCTATATGATAGAACAACCTTTGGGCATGATTCTAGCCCACTCAAGTACATAACAGTTCACTACAACAACAGTTATGCACTTGACTTTAATTGTGTTCTTGTAGACATTTCATTACTCAAACTAGGTAACATTATCAGTGCATGTTACCTAGTTTGGGTAATGAAACATTTGCAAGAAAACAGCCAAGGTCCGAGAGCACTAAGGACCCCTCATTTCAACACTATAAATATTCTCCTTTGTTGGAACTATTGTAGTTGTTAAGTTCGAAGGGTTGGGCTCATAAAGACGAGAGACTTCGGTTCAGTAACAACAGCTGTTTATTTATCAGCTAAAACCAGCTCAAAAGAATAGCAGCCGCGGCGGCTCTTTTATAGAGGGGCTTAAGTGGCCAATGACATTGCTTTAAGTCTCCCACGCTTGGTTTTGACCAATCGCGGCAGACTCTTAGTGAGCCAATCATAGCCGCCCTGGTTGTCCAATCAGGTAGTGGTTAAAGCAGACCAATGGGAATGTTGGGTTACAAGTCTGTCAATATGGAACACCCCTCCCCTCTTGGTATCGTCCAAGGGGCGGGTGATGTAGGCGGGTCTCCGTACTTGCCTACTTGACTTGCGTGCTTCATTTAGTCTCTGGTCGTCGGCTGGTTCGGACGGGCTCCGCGTCGCTCTCAATTCTCCCGATGGAACTGCCTGGAAGGATGAGCCGGGCCTATAGCTGCGACTCCCGCCTGGTTCGCCCGGGTTGGTCGAGTTGTTCACTCTGCTACTCCTGCCTGGATTTTCTGGGCTGGTCGAGCATGTCCGGCTACTCTTTTCGGGTGAAGCACCCGTCTGCAATGGCTCAGTATATTCAGGTGAGTATGGTTGGTTTATTGTTTGGCTTCTGCCTGGGGGGTGTTCTGCTTGTGTTGAGTTTTTTTCTTTTTTCAATGTTCAAGGTTCCCCCCCCCCCCTCTGATTTCTTTGTTAAAGTCTGTGCTGGCTAGCCTGGACTGTAGCTGATCGATATGGTGCTTCCAGCTTCGCCCATCGGTGGTTTCTAGGCGGTATGACCTGGGTCCGGTTAATTGGGTGATTCGTGTGGGTACCCAGAGGGGGCCCCCGGTGAAACTTTTTGTGAAGACGGTGTCGCCAATGTTGAATGCGCGATGTCGGCTTGTAGAACCGGGGGGGTTCTCCGGATTATAAGTCGGATGCAACCGGTCTAGTGGCGAACGGAGTCTTCTGCCCATAAGTAGTTCTGCTGGGCATTTGTTAGTGGTTGTGTTAGGCGTGATATGTTGTATCAGCAGCATTTTGTTGATTTTTTCTTGGATATTGCCATCTTCAATTTTTTGTATGTTTTTTTTTTTTTTTGTAAACTGAACCATCCGTTCCACCCGCCCATTCGCCGCCGGGTGAGCGGGCGATGTTAATGCATGTCTGATGCCTCGGGCAGCTAGGTATTGTTCGAATGCCAGTGCCGTGAACTGTGGCCCATTGTCGGACACTATCACATCTGGCAAACCATGTGTGGCAAAAAGTTTGTTAAGTTTAGCTATGACGGCCTCTGTGGTTGTTTTTTCCATAGTGCAGACTTCCAGCCAATTTGAATAGGCATCTACGGTTATCAGAAATGTGTGTCCATGAGTGGGGCCGGAGAAATCAAGGTGGATTCAGGACCAGGGGCCTCTGGGTATTTCCCATTCCAAGGGTGGTGCTGTGGGGGGGGTGGATCGCGTTTGTTGGCAACTGTTGCATGCCGCGACCCATGTTTCGATCAGCCTGTCCATCCCTGGCCACCAAGCATAACTTCTTGCCAGGGCTTTCATCCAGACGTTGCCCGGGTGCCCTTCGTGCAGCATGTCCAGCACTGTGGTTTGTAATGTTTCAGGTATCACCACCTGATCTCCCCAAAGGATGCACCCTTTTTGAGCAAAGAGTTCAGTTTGCCAGCTCCTGAAGGCTTTAAAACGTTTGTCTTTATCATTTTCTGGCCAACCCCGTTCTACCCAACTCAAGACTTGCGCCAGCTGCCTGTCTTTTTTTGTTTCGTGGGCAATGTCAGGCGCGGTGAGGAGTGGGCTGGGTAGGGTTTCTATTTGGAGGACTTGAGTGGTAGGTGCTGGGTCATCTAGCACGTCCGGAAGGGGTGAGCGGCTTAAAGCATCAGCGTGCAAAATGTCCTTGCCGGGGCGGTGTGTGAGCTGGTAATTATAGGCGGCCAAGAACTCGGACCACCTTGTTATGCGAGGTGAGAGGATGTTTGGGGTGGCCTTGTTGCCCGCCAATATGCCAAGCAGAGGTTTATGATCAGTAATAATTGAAAAGGTCCTACCGTAGACATATTCGTGGAACCTTTTCGCTCCGGAGATGATTGCTAAGGCTTCCTTGTCCCGCTGGCTGTAGTTTCTTTCAGGCTTGGACAGGGTTCTTGAAAAGAAGGCAATGGGTGCCTCTTTTCAATCTGGTAAGGTGTGACTGAGGATTGCTCCTACTCCAAAGGTGATGCATCACATGTAATTGTTAGTGGTAGAGTTTCACTATACTGGATGAGAACTGCGTCGGAAGTTAAGAGGTTTTTTATTTGTTGAAAGGCGTTTTCCTCCCGTTTTCCCCAAGTCCAGGAGGCGGTTTTGTCCAACAGTCTATGCAATGGTTCCACCACGGTCGCCTTTTGGGGTAGGAAAACATTATAAAAGTTAATGAGTCCTAAGAACGCCTGAAGCTCCGTTTTGTTTTTCGGTCTGGGGTCCTCCTTGATGGCTTTGAGTTTTTTCTCGGTGGGGTGAATTCCGTGTTTGTCTAGGAGGTACCCCAAAAACTCGACCCTCTCAGTGCACAGTTGGCATTTTTCTTTTTTAACTTTCAAGCCAGAGTCTTTAAATTTTTGGAGTACTGCCCTAAGGTGTTTTTCTAGTTGTTTTTTATTAGTCGCTGCCACTAATACATCATCAAAGTATGGCACTACTCCCTTAATGCCTTGCAGCATCCTTTCCATTAGGCTTTGGAAAACCCCAGGTGCTACGCTGATGCCGAATTGGAGGCAGTTGCATTTAAATGCCCCCCGGTGTGTCACAATCGTTTGTGCCTCGGCGGTTTCTGCATCGACCGGCAGCTGCTGATAGGCTTGTGCCAGGTCGAGCTTTGCAAAGACCCGGCCTCCCCCCAGTGAGTGCAGGAGGAACTGGACTACTGGCACGGGGTAGGCACTTTGCTGCAGGGCATGGTTGAGGGTGGCCTTATAGTCTCCACAAATTCTTATGGAGCCATCTGGTTTGATTGGGGTGACTATAGGCATTTCCCAATGGGCGTGGTCAATCGGCTCCAATACCCCTTGGGCGATGAGCTTATTTAGTTGCTCGTCTATTTTAGGCTTGAGTGCAAATGGCACTCGCCATGGTTTGAGGCAGATAGGGGGGACATCTGGGTCAAGATTAAAGGAGATTGGGGACCCCTTGTACTTGCCTAAGGTGTTGTCAAAGACCTCTTGGAAGTCCCGTGCAAGTGCCGCTTCCCAATCTTCTTCGTTTGTGTGTTTGGATGCCAGCCATTTCTATCCCTAGCGGCTCAAACCATTGTAGCCCGAGCAAGCTGGGGCGGTCATTGTCCATGATGGTGAGTGACAATATGTTGGTGCGGCTTTTGAATGTGATTTTGAAGTGCCCGATGCCGGTAACGGGGATGTGGTTCCCCTGGTAGTCTCTGAGGATCAGCTTTTGTTCGCTTAGTTTGTGTCGGCATATGCTGGGTATTAGGCGCTTGATGGTGTGCCAGGAGACCATGGAGAGGTAGGATCCCGAATCCACCTCCATGGAGCATGGTTGGTTTTCGATGTTTACCGTTACGCGTACTTTTCGGACATCTATGATTGAAGAATGGCCGATGACAACCATTTGATGGGTCTCTTCTTTCCGCGGCGCCTTGTTGAATCATTTAGTCCGGCCGTCTCAGCTCCATCGATTGTCAGTCTGGCAATCCTGATGCTTTGGGGGGGCGTCTCGTCATCTAGGGCTGCCGCCTCGGCGCCGGGGACTGTGGTTGCATTTATTTCAGCAAACTTTTGCAATGTGCCCCCATTTCTCGCAATGCTCACAAATGGCATCAAGAAAACAGGATTCAGAGTGGGGGTGATCACCTCTGCATTCAGCGCACTGGAACCCCGACTTATAACCCCGCCGGTCTCGTCGATCGCGTTCCAATTGAAGCTGGTGGATTTCTTCCTCCTCGTAGTCGCTGTCAGAGGGGGATTCGATGTTGCCGTGGTGGGTGGAGGTGGTGTGTTTCTCCGGTGTCAAGGCCGTCTTGCTGGTAGGATGGCGGTCAGTTGTATTTGCTTGCCGCATTCGAGCCACTGATTTGTGGGTGGCTTCTGCTGCAGTTGCTTCAGCTATGGTGTCGGAGAGGGAGATACTGCCTTTTGCCATCAATTTGCTTTGTAGTGTGGGCTCTTTTAGGCCGAGGATGACCTGGTCTCGCATGGCCTCTTCTAGGTCTGTGAATCCACACAACCCTCCTAGGTCCCTTA